GCTTCCCCCCTCTCTCAGCTGCTGAACGGCATCAGCAACGAGACGAATGGCAGCATGATTGGACATGAAAGAACGGCAATTAAATGGCCATGCATCCTACTGATATCAAGGAATTGGTGAATAAATAAATGGAGAAAGGTGACAGCTCTGTGTCACAGACAAATTGCAGGCAATAAATGAAGGATTGAGGAAAGCAGAAAGAACACCACGGCTGAGACAACGGTAACAAAATTAACCAGTGAGTGCAAAATTGGTAAGAAACAGTTGGGAGACAGACCAGATACGCGCATCATCTTAAGGCAGCGCCCCTAAAACATTACCGCATCCATAAATTCTTGACACGTCTTCCTGTAGGAGGTGGAGCTTAACTCCCCTTGCCTTGCATGTGAATTGGACTTAGGGACGGAATTGTAACAATGTGTACAGAAAGGAAAACACGGTCAGGAGAGCTTTCAGACACTACCTTAACCAAGTGCCTGAGGTTAACCTGAGGTTAATATCACCATTAGAAAGGCACTTTTGCACACGCCCTCCCTCCGATATGGATATGATGCAATGAGGAGGGAGCATCACCTCTGCTATTCTTCCCCAGACTCTAGAACCCTGTTTCTTTTTTCTTTTTCTTCCCTCCTTCCTTCCTTCCTTTTTTTTTTTTTTTTTTTTTGGAGGGGACCGAGGAAAGGGGCTGGTGGTAAAGGTAAGGTCGCAGAGGTCACAGGAGCTGGTCACACAGCCGTGCGGTTCATGAAGGCAGTCATCAGCCACAGGTGGTGACAGAACCCTTGACATGCGCTCTGAACGGGGGCGTGCAGCGAGCGTCACATATGCACTGGGTGCTGAAGGCTTAGGGCAGCCAAAAGAAGGCAAGGTAGTTCACTAATCCTTTTTATATTGGTTACATATTTAAATGATATTTTTCTTTTTTAAAAATTTATTTACCAGGTGGTCGAAAAAGTCATGCATATTTTCTCTGTGTCTGTCTATGCGAAAAGGTATCGCGAATTTTCCAACAACCCAATATTTATTTATCTGTCTTCCATTAAAGAGACAGAGAAGGAGATAAAGATAGACAGAGACATTGTCACCTCAACCGGGACCCCACATGTGACGCCCCCAGGCTCGTCCAGTCCTGAGTGTGCCCCATGCAAGAGGAGGTCTCAGGATGAGAACCAGAGGCCTTCCCACGAGGGTCCAGCTGACTTACCTCTGCACCATCATCTGACCCAAGGTGATATTTTTGATATATTAGGTTAAGTAAACTATATCACGAGATTGGTCTCAACCTGTTCGTCTTATTCCTGTAAGTGACTACCAGAAAAGTAGGATCACCTATGTGGCTCGTGGCAGGGCAGTAGAGGTCCCTGCTGAGGGTTTGGCATTTCCGCTCAGCAACACGGAAATCGGCGGAATACAGAGATGCACACAGAGATTCCCATGTTGTTCAGCACCTGGTGGGGCAAGGTTGTGCCCCTAGAATTCCACTCACTGACAAATTTCTCATGCAGAAAGGCAAATAGACACTTGGGGGGAGACATCGAGCTTAAGAAAGAGTTTAAGTAACAAAACAACAGCAAGTTAAATTTAAATCATTGCTTAGAACATAGTGATGGGACCAGCAGATGGCATAATGGTTACATCACTGGACTCCCATATGGTCAACTGCAGTTTCAGTCCCAGACCCAGAGGCTTGAAACTCACATTGGGCCCATGTGTGTGCGTGCCCAAAATCCTGAGAGGAGAATGAAGGAGAAGGGATTGTGATGTGACCATTTCCTCTGGGGGTGATTTTTTGCTTTCTGTCTCTCTGTCTCTCAGGTGAGCACACATTCCCTATAGCAAAAATCTCTCTCTTTCTCAAAAAAAAAACAAAAATCATAGTGATGAGGTTAATGAAATCAGCAAGTAATGATTATTGAAATATGAGGCAGTAATACAGAGAAGAATCTGACAAACGGATATAATTATGGATAGACTCATTCCCAAATTCCAAATGGGTCAGAGAAACACAGACAGAAAAAGAAAAACTATTCACATACTTTATTTTAGCTAACCTGGTAAATAGAAGATGATTTATGCTTTTAATTCATATTTCCACGATGCCAACAAGGTTAAAAACTTGTTATGAATCTGTTGGCTACTGTATAACTTTTTTCATGAAGTGTACATTTAGGATTTCCTGTATTTTATAGCACTATCTTTTTATTTATTATTGATTTGTTTTTATATTCTCGATGAGAATACTTTGTCAGTGTGAGGCTTGCCTTTCACTCTTTTATTGGAGTCTTTAATGAGACTACAAGTTCTAATTTTTCATGAAAGCCAAATTTTTCTCTCTTCCTGGTTGATGACTTAAATGTTCGATTTTCAAAAAATCTTTGCTGGGACCAGCAGATGGTGTAGTGGTTATGTTGTTGGACTCCCACGTAGCTGACTATGATTCAAGTCTCAGACCTGGCAACTTAAAACTCACGCTGGGCGTGTGTGTGTGCATGCCCAAAATCCCAAGGGGAGAATGGGAGAGAAGGGATGGTGGCATGGGCATCTCCCCAGGAAATGATTTCTTGCTTTCTGTCTCTCTGTCTCTCTCTGTCTTTCCAGCAAGTGCGTGTGTCCTATAGCAAATCTCTCTAAAAAATAAAAATAATAAATAAATAAATAATCTTTGCCTACCCCAGAGTCAGGTAGATAGGCTATCTTCAGGAAGCTTTATTTTTTATCTTTCATACTGAAGACTCTGAGCCATCTCTGATTAATCTCTGCGTCCCCTGTGAAGTGGGGTTAGGAATCATTTCTCTCACGTGTCTATCCAATATTGAAAAGATGATCTCTTCTTCATTATACTGCAATGTCACTTTGGTCATAAATCAAGTGACAATACACATGATCTATTCGGGGCTCTTTATTCTGTTCCTCTGCCTGCTGGTCTGTGCGTGTGCTCATACTATCTGGTATTGATTACTGTGGACTTGACGTGAATCTCGGGAATCGGTGTATGAACCTTCCACCTCACTTCTTTCCCCCAAGACCGCCCTGGCCCGGGCAGTACACGCACACTTAGACCTGGCAGCTTCCCCCCTCTCTCAGCTGCTGAACGGCATCAGCAACGAGACGAATGGCAGCATGATTGGACATGAAAGAACGGCAATTAAATGGCCATGCATCCTACTGATATCAAGGAATTGGTGAATAAATAAATGGAGAAAGGTGACAGCTCTGTGTCACAGACAAATTGCAGGCAATAAATGAAGGATTGAGGAAAGCAGAAAGAACACCACGGCTGAGACAACGGTAACAAAATTAACCAGTGAGTGCAAAATTGGTAAGAAACAGTTGGGAGACAGACCAGATACGCGCATCATCTTAAGGCAGCGCCCCTAAAACATTACCGCATCCATAAATTCTTGACACGTCTTCCTGTAGGAGGTGGAGCTTAACTCCCCTTGCCTTGCATGTGAATTGGACTTAGGGACGGAATTGTAACAATGTGTACAGAAAGGAAAACACGGTCAGGAGAGCTTTCAGACACTACCTTAACCAAGTGCCTGAGGTTAACCTGAGGTTAATATCACCATTAGAAAGGCACTTTTGCACACGCCCTCCCTCCGATATGGATATGATGCAATGAGGAGGGAGCATCACCTCTGCTATTCTTCCCCAGACTCTAGAACCCTGTTTCTTTTTTCTTTTTCTTCCCTCCTTCCTTCCTTCCTTTTTTTTTTTTTTTTTTTTT